CAAATTATTTTGAAGTGTTATTGCTAACATTTAAGTAAATATCTATAGCACAAGTTTTTATACAGAATAAAAATTAAAGCATATATTTATCATGAAATGAATAATTAACTCCATAGTAGTTTTTTTAACCCCACACACAGAAAGTAGTTTTTGGCAAAAATATAATTTTCATACTTATCACAAGTTATTCAGAGAAGAAACAGGATTTATTGTTTGATTTATTTCTTCATGGTTTATCAACCTTTAGCAGGTTATTTAAAGCCAGAAAATATTTCTATATTGTAAGAATTTTTTGAGATAATAATGATTTTTTGATACAGGTTCTACTATTTAACCTATAACTGGGGGAGGAGGAGTGGATTTAAACCTTTCCCAAGGGTATTTGTGCTTAAATTAATATAACAAATCCAAGTGAAATTGGAACTCAGCTCTCTGATTTACAATTCTGAGCCATTATACATTACACCACCTGAACATCTGGTATTCTCAGGAATACTGATCTAGGTACTGGCCAGGGTTGATGCTGCTTAATTTTGGTGATCAGATGAGAATCAGTATTTCAGTGTGATAGGAAAGCCAGTTAAAACAGGAAGATTATGTTTAAAAAATTCATATGTCTACAATTATATTATACCACAATCTGAGGATGGATCAATAAATCTGTAGCTTGGCACATAGTTATTAATTGAATTTAGATCTGAAATTTTCATTATATAATGTTCAAACAGTGTGATCTTATGTTTAAAAATCACCATTAAATTAAGTGCATTGAGAGTGGAGAAGAATATATTGAAAAATAAATGTGTAAAATAAGTACATTTTTTTCAATCATGAGGCTTTTGACATACTGATGTACATACATACATACCTACATGTTCTATTGATTTAGTTTAATGTCTAAATTAGTTCTGTCTTGAAAGAGATTTTACTTTAATAAAGATATGCATACTTGAAATAGAATATGTGCCAAGAATGAGAGATGAGGTGCATTGGATTAATGGTGAGCAGTGCAGAAAATGGAATCAACTTGTATTAGCCTTAAATTCAGTTTGTATTAACTTTACACTAATGCCTTTCAGAAAAGACTGGAACCATTTCTCTCCTCCAAGTTCAGGATTAAACAATAGGGCAGACTAGGCTCTGTAGTCATGGTTAGAAACCAGTCAAGGAGAAGAAGAGTTCTGAATTCAAAAATCATGGAGAAAGCAATGTGAAACAGTTTACAGAAATTAAAGAAAAAAGAAACTGTGGAGAGCCATGGTCACCTATGTCCTAAAGGAATATAGCACTCAAGAAGGAGGATCAGGAAAGAGATTAATGTGAAACTGTTAACAGAAAATAATGCACATTCATATTTACTATGTGAACTTTTTGTATATTATGCTTAGGTTCTATTTTGTATTATTTTGCTTAGGTACTCCAAATAATTTTAATACTTTTAAATAGATTTCATTGTTCTGTCATGGGCTCTTTAATTTCATGAAATGGGATTCATGTGGAATTAATTTAATTATTAAAAACAATACTAAGACATGATGTGTTATAGTGTAATGTATTACAGCTTGAAATGAGAAATCAGAGTACTCTGAATTCAAATTTCAATCAGGTTTGTTACATTCCCTTACGCACAAATATCCTTGCAAAAATGTATGAATCCATCTCTTCTCCTTTCAGCTATGGATTAAATAGTAGGACAGACTGGGTCCTATAGCCCTGGTTGGCAACCAGTCTACCATAGAAAGAAACAGCAGTCTACTGCTGGAAAATCTCTCTAATTAGTTATCAATCAAAAGAGACATGATTGGCTAAACGTATGGCACTTAACTGACTGAAGACATATATAAGGATTTTATTATTCTAAGAGATATGAAAGAAATATTTTATCTAAATATACTTTCAATATTTTTTAATTAGTCTTTCAGACATGCTGACAGTTTGTCTTTGAAATTTTGAATTGCACAACGAGTTATCAATTTTGTAATTATTTTATCAATAAATATAATTAAAGTTAATTTTTTATAGTAATTTTTGCATGTACTTTCATCATATGTAACATCATGTGGCTTCAGATTTCTACAGTAGGACCTCACCATCCTTATTTGTAATTTGGCCCAATCAGCAAAACTTTTTATTAAAGTAAAAGTACTTTGCAAAATATATTTCAAAGATGTAAAATAAAATAAAAAACACATTGAAATAATATAAATTTTTAATAATAACAGTATTTTGTAAATACAAAAAAAAATCATCAACTTAGATATCCTCAAAATTATCAAAGTCTGATTCATTAAATCCTAAGTTTGAAAGGCTGATATTAATAATAGATAAACTTTGACTACTGAAATATGTTAATTTTATTCATTTCATTTTTACAGTTGGTTTGTCAAAGATAGTTATTTGTATGGTAATTTCATTCCTCCATCATCAAATGGGCTTAGTGGATGAAAATCTCTTGAAGTGCTTGTGTTAGGTTACTGAGGATTCTCAACCAGACATATTTTTTTTTAAATTTTAATTCGTTGTCATCAAATATGGTGCAATGATTGATTTATTGTCAGTTAGTATAAACAGCTCATAACAGTCCAATTTTACATTATAAATAATGAAAATTTGAATTTCTTTTCAGACAAAAATTTGGAAATGATTTCTATATAGCAAAAACAAAAAAAACCTAAAGGAAATTAAAAAAAATATTAATTACATTTTTAAAACAGGGTGTCAATTGTCTGGATAAAATCTTTAGACATACTTAATTTATCTGGTTTGCTGTTATCACCATCTGCAGGGGAATCTTGAAACAAATCTGTCACAGATAATGAGGTCCTTCTGAAATATCTCTATGGATAAGTTTACCATGAAATTCAGTATCTGACCTTAATTTAGTATCAAATAGTAAATGTTAAAAGCTTAATTGCTACCAATATACCCATAGAAGCATACCTAATGGCTCTTTCATGGTAAACAAAGAAAGCATAACATATTTATACTAGCAGTGACTGGAATTTGACTAGACATTATTTTATGAATGGATGAACATACTTCACTGAAGCAATCAACTTTACTATTTCAATGCTTTATAATTTTATTAGTATTTTTTCTCTCTAGCTATTTTTATCTGTTCATATTTTTCTATCTATCCCTATTAATAAATATATTGACTATTGGAAACTTGCACAAATTTTAATTATAAAGCTAAAACATAACTAAAATCTCAATATGAAACAGGTTGCAGGATGTTGATGAGTCTTAGAATGTGATCAACTATACTATAGTAGTGCCATAGGCTGTTAATGTACATGTTTTTAGTGTAATCACTTTTTCAATTTTATATATGTACCAGCATAATTATAATAAATTTTAAAGAAGTAATATTATACCAGCATTTTCTTTCCTCCTTTTTTTATTAAAAATTTCTAGTACTAGAATTTTTTTGCAAATCCTAACAGTATTTAGTATTGTTGAAGTTTTTTGTTGAGAGTTACAAACTCTGTTTCATTCAATTTTGCAAACTAATCAATGAAGTTAAATAAGCTAAATTTTTTTAAAAAAATACTTTTTCATGGTTTAATAATTTCTTTAATTTAATTTTATAGGACTTCATGGTAAACAATATTTTTTGGAAAATTTCTTTTATCCTTTTTAACAGCGAAGGATAAATTCTTAGGATTTCTTACTCCTGAGCATGCAACATACAACTGGTCATGTGTAAATATTACTTTCTTGAGTCAAATTCCAACTTTTTGAAGTGTTAACCTTGTGATTTGTTTATAGTTCTCACAAATGCAAGGCAAACTGGAAACTGGATTCTTTTATATAAAGACTTAAAGAAAAGATATGCAAAAAACAATATTGGATTTTTATTAAGTATTTGTTATTGTCATTAAATTTATTTTAAATATCAAGAGTAAATTGCCAAAAAAATTAATGAAAATTTATTATACTAAGCTATGCACCTTAGTAAAGCCAATTGTACTTTGTAGCCCCTTACCTGTTTGCACTTCTCCCCAAAATCTGGTTTTGATGGCTATTTTAGAGGGTGTGATGGACAGACTAATGAAAGTCACAGAATTTTATATATAGAAACACATTGTTTTTTGTCTGAATTTTTGAGATGAGGAATTATCATTATTATATACTGATTTGTTTTGACTAATGTACTCATCTTGGTTGTTATTGTTACATTTTGTGTTCTTTATTCAATCTATGGGAATATCATTCCATTGTCTCTGGTAGAGGATATCTCATGTCAGTTAATTTGTCCTTGTAATATCACTTTGTCTCTTCCACTGTACTAGGAGATTATATAACTTTTTCTCACTATCTGTAAATAAAAACAAATGAGTGCTTAAGCTTGTAGTGAAACTTTATTCAATGCAATTTGACTACTGCTCATAAGTGAGATTCAACCACTTCTTTTATAGTTGAGTATTTCAAGGGGGAGACAACTATGTTTGCTTTTCACCCCACTATTCAAAAGATAAACAATATCACAAGGATTAACTGGACAGAATGAACTGAGATATCCTCAAGCATGGACAATGGAATGGGATTAATCTACTCCTATTGATTGAATAAGGGGTTCAATTTAAAATTCCTGGAACTTTACCAACTATGATAGACTCTTGATGAAAACAGGAGAGTACAATGACTAAAATGTGAGAAAAACAACCAAAATGAGGACACTGGTTCAAAGAAATAAAATGTATAATAATAATATTTCTTTATTACAGATATTGTAAATTTTATATACTATTGATTGATTTGTTTCTATGGCTTATCAATACTTTGCCAGAAAGTATTTTTACATTGTAAGAATTTTGTTTTGGAGATAATGTTTTAGTAATACAAGTTTTACTAATTAACCCATAGTTGGGGAGAAGAGGAGGTGGATTCATACCTTCCCCCAGGGTATTTGCATGCAAGTGAATATAATGAATACAACTGAAAAATCAGATCTCCAATTAATAATTCTTATACATTACACCACCTGCACATCCAAGCTTACAGCATCTAGTATTCCCAAGCTGTCACCCATCTAGGTACTGACCAGGCTCAGTATTGCTTAACTTCAGTGATCATATGAGAACCGGTGTTTCAACGTGATATAACTGTAAGTCCAGGTTACATTAGAGAACTGATCAGACTCAATGTTGCTTAATTCCAGTGATTGTGTGAAAATTGGTGCTTCAATGTGATGTGGCCATAAGCCTTTTGAAAAGTACTTCAAAGGTGTTGGAAAAAGTCTTCAAGAAGATGATCTTTCATCAGGCCCTGTAGATTGGTGCTACAAGATTATCAACAAAAAGTTTTTCCAGATAACAAAAAGCCAAATCACTTGAAGACTTCCAACAGCTGTAACAACAAAAATAGGTAGCATATATAACTAGAAGAGAAAATAATGTTAACTTTCTGCACTACCAAAAACAAAAGGTTTGAAAGAAAATTTCAACTGACAGTAAGGCTAATCATTTGATCAGTAAAAGCCAAATGTTTTCACTATTAACATTACCTATAATTTCTTTGTTTGATTGCTTGCTTAATGAATGCCAGATCTTTATTGTAGGCAGTGCTGAACTTACCAATAAACTAAATAAGTTATAGCTTAGGGTCATACAACTTCAGGGGCCTCATTGTTAAAAAATATATTTTTATTTTATCATTAGTTTTTATTCTTTAAAACTAAATCATCAAAAATTAGATATACTCATTAATAGATAATAATCACATATAATCATTTTATATTTTTTTTAGAGAAGTACCTTGAATTTCATAAAGCTTAGGTCCTCAGTAGATGAAAGTTTGACTCTGCTTATAAGGAAACTGCTAATGTTACCATTACTATTACACCACCTTCACATCCAAGCACCTGGTATTCTCAAGTGGTGTTCCCAGGTCCACCCAGACCCGGGGTGGTAGCACCTGTTAGGGTCCTAACTATGGGCAAATAGTTAACCCAGAAACTGATGTAAAAAGCATTATAAAAGTGTAAAAATAGGTTTCAACATTCCTTATTACAGATATAGGTACTGACTGGATTCAACATTGCTTAACTTTGCTGATTGTACAGGGAAATGGTGTTTCATTGTGAAAATGAGCTAAATTTTATATACTCTAGTTCATTTGAAGAAGTAGGCAAATAACATTAGATTTAAAACTGTACATTTCCAACACGAAAATGGCCTATAGGACTCAATGGATGTTAATGTTGTTTAAGTGAACTGAGTTATCTCATTGTGAGTTCAATGTCGTTGTTTGATAGTTAAGCTGCTTTAGTGAAAGGGGCATGCAATATCACAAAGATGAATTAGCTAAATAGAGTTAACTGATACAAAATATCCTCTAGCATGAAGTCTACTCCTGTGTATTGAATAAAGGGTTTATTGCAAAATTCCCAGGTACCAACTATGATAGATGCCTGAAGAAGGCTAGAGAATAAAACAGTTAAAATATTGTAACAATAACATGTAAAATGAATCAAATGTATAATAAACATGTTGGTCATGCCTTGAATTCTGTTCAAGTAAAGTTTTGACGAGAAATGGCAATTTAAAATAGCTTAAGGGAATTGTAGCAAATCCAAGCACCCTGATTAGTACTGTAACAGAAGAAATCCTCTTGGTACTTTGTACCGACAGCAGATGTATGCTATTTATATGAGCCTCAGAAGTAAACAGGAAGAAATTCTATTCATGTATACTATCGTGGAGGTGCATTTGTTAAATGAGTTGCCTAAGAAATAGGATATTCTGTTGGATATATGGTTTGTTTGTAGCCTTTTTCTGGGCTAGATTAACTGGAATGTATTTTTTTTGTTTTCAACATGATCATTATAAAAAGATAAATAACAAGTTTAGCCAGAATTACACACTGACAATAATGTACTGTATAATTCATATTAGTCATAAATTATATATTTAAAAAAAACTACATTAGTATGAAAGAAGAGTATATCAGATAACTCCTTTGTTCATTCCTGAATGTTTTCTCTGCTTTGCTCAAAAGCTGCAGTAGTAGAAAGAATAAGAATAATAAAAACAGAGGATTTTTCTTTGCATATTTTAGGATTTACATTTTTGTACATTATAAATAAAAAATACAATTTTGATATTTCTTAAAATAGGCATATAAAACACTTGCAAATCAACTCAAATCATAATCAAGTTAATAATTTTTGAAAGATTCAGCTTAGAAAATCTTAAATTGACTAGTTTATAATTTTAGTTATTTTATGAGTTTCCTTCCCAAATTCTTAAAAATTTTTAAATGTCAGCATGATACAAATTTTTATTTTGTTCTATAGTGTATACAGTCATGATTTTCAAAAATACACAATTTGATTTCTGTGCTTTTTTATCCCTTGGAATATACAATATTTAAAAAAAAATTATTTGTATATTATTTAGCTTATTTTTTGTTCAATGTTTTGTTAATGCCATCCCATTTTAACATTTGACATGTTTTTTCAAATATTTTTGTTTTCAAGAATATCCATGCTTTATTTTTTTTACTTTAGATTGTATTTAATAAAATTTTAAAATGTATAAACAGAGTCTATGTAATTCATTCTGCTAGGTGGAAAACATAGTTAATTTTAAATCAGTAATAGGCATATAAAACACTTGCAAGTTAATAATTTTTGAGAGATTCAGTTTAGAAAATCTTAGAGTAGTTTATAATTTTTTCAGTTATGTTGGGAAGTAATAAAACATTTAGCTCTTGAAAAATAAAAGAAATTTGGCAAATATGGACTTATGTGCATGCAATAAGATATAGTGTCAAAAGGATGTTTTTTCCCATGACACTACTTTTTTTAATTACCTTCACTCTTTGGTAATATTTATTTTTAAAAAGTGATGACTAGAATAAAACCTAAATATATAATGAAAGTGAATTTATGCATTTTTTTGTTTTTAAGAATTTACAACAAAAATATTAAACACTATTTATTTATTAGATGGTTTATTTACAAGAATAATTTTATATTTACAACATTCTAAAAATGAATACAATCAGAACTAATGCAATGCAATATTTATAATTTACCAATTTATAAAGAAATATACACAGAAACAATTTTTTTATTCATAGACTTATAACCATTTACTAATTATAAGAAAATCCTTATTATTTTCCATTTCATAACATTTGAATTGGCAATTAGCTGATGTTTTGCCAACCATTCCAATAAATAGTATAATATATAAATAGTGTAAATAAACAATCTAATAAATAAATAGTGTTTATTATTTTTGTTGTCAGTTCTCAAGAACAAAACAAATGTATAGATTCATTTTCATATGTTTAGGTTCCAATTTTAATCATCACTTTTTAAAACAATAAACATTACTGAAGAATGAAGGTAGTTAAAAAAGCGGTGTATGGGAAAAACTTCCTTTTGACACTACATCTTATTTTGTGGGTACATTTGTCCATGTTTGCCAGAAATCACTAATACATTCAAATGTATTAAACATTAAAGGATGTTTATTTTTCTTATGCTAGATTTCAACAAATCTTGAATTGTATGCAAATATAGAAGTTAGAAAAATTGTTTTACAGCTAACTAAAGAAAATTGAAACTTCAAGCTGGGATTTGGTTTAAAACTATAAAACACAAGAAAATTGTTCAATCACCAAGAATCAGCAATCATGGTGGTGATACAAAATTGGAACTTTTCAAAGAATCTACTGACCAATACCCAGACAAGGGAGCTGAGATGTGGATGCAAGTGAACAGAATAGCAAGTATAAAGAACAACCTGCCTCTCTATCCACAAATGTAGAAAATAGCAAATAGAATATTGAAGTTAATATATAGTAAATTGAATTCATTGCCCACTTTGTATCTGTAGTAGTATTAGTCATAGTAGATATTTATACCACATGGGTATTACCGATTTTACAAGTACTGGACCAGTGGCAAAGTGAAAAATCTATTTATCCTGGGTGGAAGTCAGAATTTGTTTCTTTCTCCTCTGTGAGTATATGGTAATGAGCCTCAACTAAACTGACACGTCAGTTGGAACTGCAAACTTCTTGGCTTTTTGTTCATTACTCTACCAATGTAATGAAAGTTGTTAATGTTGGTGGTAATAGTTTAAGGATCACTGCAATGTCTTTTAGTGACTATTTACGATTATTTATAATCGTTTAAAGCATTTTTACAACATGGTAGAATTTAACTTACTGTAGGCAGCTTTTTTAATTCCTCTCACAAGTGTCTTTTTATTATTAAAAATTTGTTTATCTCCCAGTTTACTACAAATCAACTAGTTAAGTACTGAGAGGACAAGATAGTGAAATCAAGTTCTTTGAATACCAACTGAGTTGTTTCTTAGGTTTTATAATGAAGTTTTATTTTTGTGATAAGAACAGAACCTTTTTCTTTATGAATATCAGGTTAAAGTATTAAATGATTTGTTTTTTACAGATTATCAACTTTTTGCGGGTTATTTAAAGCCAGAAAATATTTTAGATTGTAACAATTTTTTGGTGATAATAAGGATTTACTAATACAATACTAATTAACCCATAGCTGGGGGAGAATGCAGACTTATGCCTTTCTCAAGGGTATTTGCACATAAATGAATACAACAAACCTGAGTGGAATTTGAATTTGGCTCGTTGATTTCATTTCTGAGCCATTATCCATTACACCATCCACACATCCAAGCTTAGACCACCTGGTATACCCAAGCTGTCACCCATCTAGGTACTGACCAGGCTCGGTATTGCTTAACTTCAGTGATCATATGAGAACCGGTGTTTCAACGTGATATAACTGTAAGCCCAGGTTACATTAGAGAAGACTCAAGTTATATAAGAGATGAAAGTAACCACTAATACATATCCTGGCCAAGAAGTGTTCTTGTACTACCATAGCTTTTAAACCAAAAGAATTTAGTCCATGTTGAGGCTCAGTTACCAGTAGTAGTAATAGAAATCTCATTATTATTGTTGTCTAATTTAAAAGAAAATCCAACTTCAAGTTTGAGATATGCCTTTTTATAAACTAAAAAAAATCATTTCTTGACATTACAGAAGATATTAATAAGTCAACTAGTTATAAAATTTAATGATATACAATTTCCTATTATATATCATTTGATCATATCACCATGAGCTTTATAAGAAATATGTTCTTCAAAATTATTATTAAATGAGAATCTTTGAAAAGGCATGTCTGAAATCAGAGGTCAGATAAAAAAAGTTATTCTTTGAAACAGTTAATATAAATCATTTATCTGCATGTATCCCACCATCACTTATTTGTACTGTTTGTCTGTGTCAAGTAATTTCTTTCCTTTATTTTGTGTCTTTGCCTGAATCTGCTTGGTAGTAATTAAGTAGTTGTTATAAAATTGTGTTTAATTTCTGTTTAAGATATGAATGTTATTTACTTCAGTTAAATCCTGAATTCATTAGAATCTTGTGATTTCTTGTATTCATTCAAAATTTTACATGTTCAGTTCAAACATCAAAGCTTTTTCTTTTGCTTTTTGGAGTGTTTATTGCCATTTTCATCATTATCATTTTGTTTGTTCATTGTTTTGTGTAGATATTATAAATATGATAATAATGTAAAATTTCTAGATACTTAATATATTTTGACTATTCAGGATGTTTCATATTAATGGATTTTTGAAAATTGAAAAAAATTTGAATTATTGAAATGCTAGCAAGAGTAGGATTTATGAGTAAATATCCCAATTATTAACATTTTTAAGAAAATCTTTTCTTTTCTGTCTATTTTGTAGGTAAATTAAGAGTTGAAATTTGCATTTTGTCATATATTATGTCAGATTTTATAATGTAGGCCAATGTTTCCATAACATGACAATCTTAACTTCTTCAAGTCAAAGGTCAATCATTATTTATCTTCCTTATCTTCAATGTTCATGTCCTATCACCTCTTTCATTCATATCACATCTCATTCGTTACAACCATTTTAAGAGTAACCCTCTAACTTGAATGGCTCTCGAGTCTTTTATTGATCAAACTTTTTATAAAAAGAACAATAAAATTAATCAACTGTTGAAAAGAGTTTTAGGATATACTTATATTTATATGATAAATATACTGTGTGAATTTTGGCTTATAAATATCTATACTTATTAAAAATATTGATAACTTGTTTTGGAGATATAATATTTTACTATGCAAATAAAATACAATATAAATTTTAATTTATAAATAAATCTAAGCATTTGATTAAAAATTATATCCCATATATTTGAATAAATTATTATTTTATTATTTTACATGTTAATCTGGGCTCATTGACATTCTATAACCTTCGTCAGTCTTTCACTTACTGATTTTGTTAAATTTTTACTCTTCCAACTTACATGCATCAATTCTTATTGCTTCCTAGAGAACTTCTTTGAACATTATTTTCCATTTTCATGTACATCTTTTTTAATGATAGATCACAAATTTTCTATTATTTTCATGTTCTTAAATAGCCTTGTCATATCTGGAGACTCATGTATGTCATGCATGGCACCCAACTGATTCAGAAATGTCTAAACTACCAATCATATACAACTGTTATCTTAGATCAATGATTAAAAATGGCTTTGAAGGCATACTGTAGGTTTTAGAGAGGACCATTCTTCATCAGTTTTCATTGACTGGCATTAAAAAATTTTAAAGAACAATACCAAATGACAGAAAGACTTTCAACAGCAACAACAACTAAAATGGATAGCTTATGTAATTCAAAGAGAAAATAATGATATAATCAAAATGTTGGTTATCCAAACAACTTCAGACAAAAGGTGAGGAAGGAAACCCCATCTATACTAGAAAGAACAATAACAGCTAGTGGACTTGAGAAACCTATTTTCTAGAAAAAGTGTTTTGAGAGAAAGATTCTATAAATTTGAACTGATAGTAATGCTAACTGTTCCGTCAATGACTGTTTCCATATAAGGAAATGGCTAATCTCACCATTATCAAATTTTGGAGAGGCTGTGAGCTATTCTATTAATTTGGTCTCTTTGAAAACTTTTTTTGACAAGATTAACAGTAGTCAGAATTGCAGAATGTGAAGAAGCATTATCTTGCATAAATATAGTTTTAATTTGTTGTGGGTTTGGAAATTGTTATCATTTTATGCCTCCTGGTACATTTGTCCCACAAACAATATTTAGCGGATTGATGTGAGTCTGGGTAAAAAATAATATTCAAAACATGGAATTCAAACAAAAAACAATTAATAAATGTATAACCAAAACATGTTACAGAAGGATAAAGAAAGAAATGAAGTTGAAATTAGAGACAGTTCAATACAATCTTCAGTCTGTGCCTTTGAAGAACTTATATACCTCGTCACTTTTGGAGCAAAAGGAAATAGTGTTACAACTCTAAAAGTCAAAGGGAAAAGAGAAAGAGGCTTTCAAATATTGCTTGTAACACTTCTCTGCATTTATCCTGATACTATCATCAACTTTCAAGAGGTTTATAATGTTACTGCACATAACAATTGTCTAAAACATTACTCCAATCTCCTGTGGCCTTCTAATTTGTGTTAGTTTTCTATTTTCAGGAAAACCCAACCTTTAACCCAACCATCAGGTCCATTCAGTATAGCTCTCTCTTTATCACTAAAAATTACTGTTAAGAAATGAGTTTCTTGATCAACTTACAATTTTCTCTTTGTGACATTTACTTAAACATTTTATTGGAATGGCTGTTGGAAAAATAATTTGTACCTTACCATCCCAAGCATTACCATGCTGGAAATATAGTAACACTTTGTTTTGTAGATGACAGCAGATAAGGACATGTATGGATGTTTGAGAGAAAACATTTTATGTACATATTTATATATGCATACTAAAAAACTTATTCAGGCTGTGAAATATATATATATATATATATTAAAAGCAACAGAAAAGAGAAGTGTATTAAAGTCTTATTTAGGAGTTGGCATGTTCATGTTTAGCATTAGTAACTTTACTTTCAGTCATATAAAGTGAAGTGGAGAACTGGAATAAACACACAGTTGCTTTGAAAGTGTGTCTCTAATTTATGAAGTGGCTTAACTTTCACACTTCTCATGAGATTATCATGTGATGCCTTTCATATCCATGGACATGCACATAAATTATAGTGGAGTCAAGGGCAGACAACCAAGTTTAGTAATGCTACAGTTCTCATGTCTTTAGCCAGTATTCATAATCTTTTCTGTTTACATTCACAACTCCAGCTTTTTAAATATTCTTTTGCTTGTAGATCCACTTTACTTGTTTATTACCTTTTAAACTTTCTTAAAAAGCTTATTTTGAAAACACTGATTTGCATAATAAAATCTTACACAATGTAAGCTGTTTGGAGTTGATATTCATTATAATGACATTTAACATTGCAGAATTTCCTAAGTGCATCTATAAATTATAAGCAAAAAATATTGCCTCTTATGTTTCAAGTAGTTCACTAACTTTATTAAATTTGTTTTACTATAAAGCAACTCAGTTGTTATTGGCACTTTTATTTTCTTCATGACTTAACACTTGGTATTACATGTGATATCAAAGACTGGTGAATGTTAAGCACAACTTTACTGAGGATGTAATGGTTTGTGTTTATTAAGAAAAACACTAGAAATTTATTTTAGCTCCATTCACTATAGAATACTTTTAAAAGGAAGTTTGATAGAGCATTCATTTTCATTAGTATTGTTATGGAATATCTTTACAACACTTAACCTATTTACTGTGGCAGAAATTCCCATCATTTGGCATTGAGTTATAGTGTGGTATAACAGATCCACAGACTTATAGATAACTAGCAGTAGAGCCCAGCATTGCCTGGGGATGTAACAGTAAGAGATAGATCAAGTATCGACCATCATAAAGACTGAAAAATAAAATTGACAAAGATTATTGTTTAAGGTTGATGAACACGCATGTCTTAATTAGTTTTTTTTTTTTTTTTTTTTTTTTTTCTAATTGGTCAAACCCAAACTCAAACAAAAAAACATTGTTTTCAATCGTTATGAGTCTACCGATTGAATAGAATTTTATTATAAACAATTGTCTTGTAAATGAAATTTTAAAACATTCTGAATTTAAAAATAAAGAAAAAAAGTGTGCAAGACAATAAGAAACTCTACCTGCCAAAAAAAAAGTGAAGTTTTGTTGAAATCAGTTTGAAAATGTAGGAAATCCGATCCCATATATAAATGAACACACACACACACACACACACACACACACACACACACACACACACACACACAAACAACCTGGGTTTTATAAGTATAACTTCGATATGAGTTGTCCCCTTTCATTCTCGTGATGCCTCTTAATCATGTTTTTCAAATTGATTTCATGCAAAAACAATTGTGTTTTTCCAATTTTTGGCACTGTCAGAACCACCGAAAGGTAATTTTATGTAGTTCTGTGAAGTTTTGTTGAAATCGGTTGAAAAATGTAGGAAATCCGATCCAATATATAAACGAACACACACACACACAACGTGGGTTTTATAATAAGTATGATGATGCATAGGCATGTAGGAATATGAATTTATATAGGAATAAAGCATGTCTGTATGTTTGTATGACCTGTGTGTGTGTGTGTGTGTATATATATATATATATATATATAGTCATGTTTGTGTATGTATATATATGTGTATACATATAGGTGTGTGTATGCATGTGTGTGTGTGTGTGTATGTATATATATATATATATATATATATATATATATATATAACTATATATATATATAAAAGGTTAATGGTCAGAGTGTTGAATCAGACCAGGAAACAGTA